CATCTCCTCCACATCATCTCCTCCACATCATCTCCTCCACATCATCTCCTCCACATCATCTCCTCCACATCTCCACATCTCCATGACATTCACATATACATTCACCTATATGTATGTATGTAGAAAGGCTGGTTAAATCTAAATTGTCAGGTGATGTCTCTTATAAAGATTGAAATTATGTGGTCGTTGTATAAATATGACATATATTAGTATATATAAAAATATTAATATAATTATGTACCGGCCAATAGACGCCTCCTGCAGGTGCTCAGGGAAAGTTTGGATGCTGTCTGGCTTCGGCTGTCAGGGTGTGGACAAGGACCTGGACAAGGAACTTGAAACCCCCTGTGCTTTGTCTCCTGGAGCCAGTTGTCTGCAGCATGCTGCCCAGCTTTCCCATGAGAAGGTTTGTCCAAGTCCCCTTTTCTCCGGTTTGTCCTTCTGGACGTTTACCCTGACAGTTCCTTGAAGAGCCCAGCAGCCCCGGGCTGGGTGTGTAAGCAGAGCACCCCTTTGCTTGGTGTGCTTGGGGCGGGCGCGGCGTCCTGCGCCCGGGGGGCACCGCGGCGGCAGCCCCTGCAGCGGGCTGCCCCGGCCCGGCTTCGGGCATCGCCACGGGCGCGAGCTCCAGCGGCGTCCCGGGCGGCCTGCGCTCCTGCTCGCCCCCAGGAAGGGTTTCCTTGTGTGCATGGGGCGGGTCAGCTTGTGCCCGTGGCCTTTCAGCCCGGTCCCTCCCGAGACAACTCCCCTTTCCTCCCGCATCCCCCCGGGGGCTGGACACGGGTGGGCTCCGCGGCGCCCGTCCTTCGCCAGGGTGACCAGGCCCTGCTCCCATAGCCGCGTGTCTCCGAGGCGCTCCCAGCCCGCCTAAGATGCCCTCAGCCCTCCAAGGGGATTATCTGAGAGGCAGCGCTGGGCCTCAGTTTTAAGGACAGCGGGATAAAGCTCTAACGCGTAGTGTGTTTGGAGGTAGGTCTAGTGCTGGAGAGCCGGTTGGGCACTTACGGCGCAAGATGCTGGAGTCCTGCGGAACCAGCTGACGTGGGCCCTGGGTCTCCTGGGAATCACAGCGGGCTCGAGCCCCTTCCTTCCCTTGCTGCACGCAGGGCTTCCTGGTGGAAGGGGTCTGAGGTGGCGGCCGGTGCGACGCCCTGCGCCTGGGCGCGCCTTCCCCAGAGGCACTTCCATTAACGGGTTTCCGAAGGTTACGGCATTGGCTTTTGTAAGTTTATTTAAAAAGAAAAAAAGGAAAAAGCTTTTTACACCGTGGAAATGGTTTGTAAATAGGTTTACTTGCAGACTTGCAGAGAAAAACACATAGAATAGACTTTAAATATATTTTTTTTATTTCTTGTGGTTTTCCTTTATATTAGTTTTTTTTCCTTTTTTTTTTTCAGTCAAAAGACAGCATTACAGTCTAACAACCAAAACCATGTTACATACACACAGGCACACTACATGACGTACTCCAGGCAGTCGTGTCCTTCGGTCTCGTGACACACACGGTCCCATGACAAGTGGGCCTCCTTCCCCTGCTGCCCTTCCTCACGGCGCTTCAACACGTAGCACACAGAAAGGACGGATTTTGCTAGGTTTCAACCGAGGTTTGGGTTCTACAGCATTGGTGATGTAGAAAATGTTTTTGTTTCTTCTCAAAAAGCCGGGTTTGGACGTTGTCCCGCTATTGTAAGGCATGCAGTGGAGTCCGGTCCCCCTGCGTGGACGTAGCTGACGGAGAACCTCTGTGTGCGACTCAGCTTGCTCCTTCCCCAACCCGCAACGACGGCCGCGGCGCCGGCCCCTCTGCTGAGCAAAGGTGGGATGGGGCTAGGGAACGGAGCTGGTGAAAACGGGCAGCAATGTTCTCCAACGCGTGCTGAGGAAGGTTTAAGGCAACCCTTTTAGCCCCAATAGCACTTCCTCCTTCCACGAGCAATTGAAAGAACCAAAAGAAAGTGGATATTGAACACAGTCTGTTTTGGCAAAGTGCTGGTGGTAGTTGTGTCACTAATAATCTGTCTTGGTGCACTAACTAGTGAGGAATCTGGTTTTAGGCTGAGCTTTTCAAAGCTAGGAGATTCAGCAACCAAAGTCAGCTTCCGAGGGAATTAATTCTGTTGGCTTCTCCAAAAATCCCAGCATCTACTTTTAAAACAACATAAAAATGTAGAAATGTTGAAGATTTAATTCCCGGTCATCTCTTGCATAGGACTTTTAACTATAGTTCACTGATTTATTCAAGTTCTGCAGATGTTTTTTAAAAAGATGACAAGCCATGAGCCGGGGTGAAAGGCACATAGACAGTCGATACGGCATGGAGATGCACAACGCGTACGGGTGGGTTTTACAAGCAGAATACCTAGTTGTCGGGTTGATCTATACAGATAAATATTGCAACGCTCAATTGCTACAGTACGGTTAAATTTATGATACAAGAGAAAAGACTAAGGACGGGGCCACCTTCAGCTGCTGCCTCTTCCCTAGAGCTCCAGACACAAGTGTGAGGGGCCAGGGCTGGGGCTGACACCTGCAGCAAGATGAAGCCGTCGAGCTGCGCGGCTCGCTCGGCCATCTCCCCCGTGGAGGAGTGCGGCAGTCACGGACACAAAGCAGAACCCTTTGCGAGCTGTGGGCATGGGGCTGCAAAGGCAGCAGCCGCTGATGGAGGCCAGGAGCTCTTGGTCTGCCCGAGGTTAGGCAGGTTTGGAGGGATGTGCATCCATTATTTAAAAAAAAAAATGTTCACTTTAGGAGACATCTTTGATATTAAAGCTGCTCATCTTTTTCATCCTCATCTTTTTAAGGAAAGAAAGTTGGTTATCGTTATCAAAAGAAAGACTGGTTGTGCAGGTGCTGCTCAGCCTCACGAAACACGAGGCCTCCTCTAAAAGCTGGGGCTGTTTCTCTGATTGTCAAGAGCTGCATCTGGAGCAGCAAGCAGGTGATGACTGTTCTCTCCTGGGGCACAGCAGGACCAGGAGACAACTTCTCCCACAGTTTTGAGGGTCTACAAGCTTCTCATCCCAAAAGAGGGGCAAGAACTTGCCAAACACGTCTCTCCTCCCGTTTTTTCCATCTGTGCCCCAATTCCCATGGGGAGAAGCTCTGTTCATGCCAATGGGATAAGGACTGAGCCCTTGAGGACACCAGGAGTCTATTCCTAATGCGGACATTGCCCTGAATGGATCAGAGAGAAATAGATGGAGGTGGAAAGCTTTCCCTCACGCACACGGATTTAACTGACCTCCCTTCCAGAGGAAGACGAGCCCCAGGGCAGTCCTCAGCCTCGCTTAAGGCCTGAACAGCCCCGGTTCACGTGGCAGCCCAAGGTCCCAGGCCACCGCGCGGGAGGCACCGGCTGCTGGCGACCGCCCGGCGCCGACGCGGCCGCGCAGGACGCGCTCACCCCGGCCACGCTGTCCTCAGAGAGTCCCGGGGCTTTCGGCTGCTCTCTTCTCACAGTGGGGTGGGAAAAGGTGGCCCCGGTGACACAACGTGCAAGTGCTGCGAACCGCTCTCTGGGGCTTCCTTCGCTTGAGCGTTCCTAGCCCATTTTGCTACATGTGTGTTTGCTAGTTATTTCCTCATTTCACATTTGGGCATTTGTTTGTTGCTCGCTTTTACATAAATCCTGCTCAAATGTGATTTCCTCCATCTGCAGGTGACTGGCGCTATTTATCCTATGTGGGAGCAATTTCCAAAAGGTCTAATTGAATGATAGATCTCCATGGAGAGCTTTTACTTCCTTATCCTGACTGCCGTGACTGAACATCTAGTGGATTGTTTTTCCCCAGTGAGGCTGAATGGAAGAGAAAGTACAAAGACATTTTGCTAAGCTGTAAATGCAAAGTTATCTATTCGTTAGCAATATGCCTAGGGAAACCGTGATGATTCCCGTGGAGATGATCTTTGGGATGAGCTATGCATTTGTATTTTCCATTATAGAAAAAGAAAAGGTGACTCCCATGGAAAGAACCGTTTCCCTTCCAGACTGAGCCTTTACAACCGAGCAAATGCTTTTAGCAAGAATATTCCTGGGGGCAAGGAAGAGGGTGCTGCCTGAGGAAGTGTGCTGGAGTGCTCCCGCCAGCCCTCGCCTGTGAAAGCCCCAAATCCAGGCGAAGGGCGGCCGGTGGCCACTGCGCATTGCTAGGGAGGTGCCCTTCCCGTTGGAGCGCAGCGGCACGGGGAGGCGCCCGAGGTGACACACTGCACGTGTCCCCGGGGAACGTGGGGCTCCCCGCAGGGCCTGGTGCACTGCACGTGTCCCCGGGGAACGCGGGGCGCTCTGCAGGGCCTGGTGTACTGCACGTGTCCCCGGGGAACGCGGGGCGCTCTGCAGGGCCTGGCGCACTGCACGTGTCCCCGGGGA